GTTTTATCGAGACATGGCTTGTTTCCATCGCTCCCACCTTCAATCGGCTCCCCACCTTCTTTCTTCGGCCGTCGTAAGAACGTCGATGGAGGGGAGAGGAAAAAAATGAAGAATTCGATCGATCAAACCAATGATATTTGATATTTGCCATTAGCTGGCCAAAAGAATTCCCTCGCTTCGAGATTCCACGAAAATTCGATCAAGAATTGGAGGAGAATCTGAATAATATTTTTCGTTTCGACGAAGATGCTAGGCTCGAAATTTTTACTTTGTTGATTCCGCGTGCTCTTTTAATCTAAAATATTTGGCTTATTTTTTTTTTTTTTTTTTACTTAACAGAGAGTTACACATTTTTATTAACCCTTTGCCTTTTTCGCTCGGACGAACCAACTCAACTTCAGACGATTTCCCGTGCATTTCTTAGCTAACTTGAAATGATTTCACACGCGAATTAACGAATTATAAAACTTTTGTATTTTAATATTTTACGTCCGCGTGCTCTTTTAATCTAAAATATTTGGCTTATTTTTTTTTTTTTTTTACTAACAGAGAGTTACACATTTTTATTAACCCTTTGCCTTTTTCGCTCGGACGAACCAACTCAACTTCAGACGATTTCCCGTGCATTTCTTAGCTAACTTGAAATGATTTCACACGCGAATTAACGAATTATAAAACTTTTGTATTTTAATATTTTACGTGTCTTTACGTATAAGGAAAGAAAAATTACTACTGTCTACTTATTCATATTTTTCATCTTCTTATATTTTTATCATTTTCGTTTTCTCTTATTTAATAACTCATCCGACTAAAATTAACTCATTAAACTAAAATCCCTAATAACTTGTTCTTACATTCACCGTCTATTCTTCCTGTTTTTCACCTTCTCTCGCTGCATCTCAACTTTCAATTTCTTAATTTCATCATTCAACAACGAAAAATCGAACTCATCTTCACTCGAACTAATTTCATTGCATATATTCCATGCTTACAAAATTCGAAAACTTTGAAAATAATATTTCCATCGCCTGTCTAAACTCGGACTAACGTCGCCGAAAATGTAGATTCCATCACGATCTAATATTCACGAGATAAAAAAAAATCCAACCATTCCACGTTTTATAAAATTATACATAAAGAGCTCAGAGGAAGCGTTATTTTAAGACAATCAAGCGTAAATAAATATCGAGTCAGCTCTCGTGCCTGAGAGTTAATTTTTCTGAGAAATCTGAATTAATATCAGAATTAATTTGAGAGATATCGCGATGAAAATTTTCGACAAAATTAATCGGCGTTAAAAATTGGCGACGTTGATATTTTTCGGACGACGATTCAAACAGACGTGATTACGCATCGGCTATCTTTGCGGAACAAGTTTGGCAGATGTCCACGTTCGAAATGCACACGAATATGAATGATGATCGCGATACCGGCAAATTATTTTGTTATCCGTGACATTTTCTCGACATTTTAAAATAATCAAACGAAAAGCGAACCGCTTTTGAAACACCTGCCACGAAGGAAGTGCATAAGAGATATTAGAAGCCTCTTTTATCCCTTTAAGAAGACAAATAAATGAATAAAAATCATTTTAATCCTCCATAATCTTCTTTAAATATTGATTATTTAAAAATTTTTTTCTTATATATAAATCGTTTTATAAATAATTTTTCAAAATTTCAAAATTCGTTTAACAAATATTTTTACATCTCTTCTCTTTCGTTCCGCAAAGAGACACGTATTCACGATGTATTGAATATTTTTCCTGATTAGAAATTTATTCGTTCAAAGGAACGTCTATTAAATTTTTACTAATTGATTTCTTTCAATATTTTTAGTCGTACAATTAAATTCGTATTCCCTGATACAGACTCTCTTAAAAATGTTATCACAATAAATATAACACGTTCGAAAAAAATCGATACCGATTTCATCTCTCGATCCCCTTTATTTCTTCCATATGTTCAGAGAACATTTTCTTCCATTTTCTCGCTTCTACTTTTGCTTGTGGAAATTTCCAGGAAGTATGAATATAATCGTGCGTTTGCACATCGTACGAAGGATATCGGCCGAGGGGAGAAAGATTATATATTTGGATATTTGAGGGAAAATATTGGGCGAGCGTGAGGAGTCGGTGTTTGTGCATTCGAAATAATTTATGAACAGATTATCATTAGTGCGTGTATTTACTTGAAGAAAAAAATAACAAATGTTTGCTCGACACTTTTCTCGAAGAATCTCCGATTTTTTTTCTTTTTCTTCCTTTCTTTAAATAAAATACTCATAGCAACGATTGGAAATTGAAATCCGCCATCTCTTCACGAGTCATTCGACAAGCGTTCGATCTTTGGAATAAGTTCGTCCAGTGCGTCAAGCAGAATCGAAACTGGCGTGGAGAGAATTTAATAAATCGTCGGATCCACGAGATTTTTCCAAAGAAGTGTAATTATATACACTTATTTTGTTAACATTTCTAATATCATCTAGTACACTTTGCTATTTTTTTCTTTTTCAAATATTTCAATTTTTCAGAAGGATACGTAAGAGGATTTCGTAAAAACATTTTTCGCATTTTATATTCCTTAATATATATATATATACATTTTTTAAATATTTTACGAAAAAGAGATAAGAAGATTTAACAAAATTTCTCTCTCTCTCTCTTTTAGTCTAGTATTCGTGCACACACATTTTCTATTACTTTCGTACTTACTTTTTAAAAAATTTTCCGTAAGGAAGAGGGGATTATTTTAGGATAATTTTATCGTCCGATTCTTGCTATTCCACTGTATTTTTAATTTTCGAACGAAAGAAGAAAACGTCGCGATTATACGGATGATACGATATGATATAATTTTGTCTTCACCACTTGAACGTATTCACGGTTAATTCGGTTTTGTTTCCTCTCGAAAATCTCGTTTCGTCGATCAATTTAAACCGAGCCTATTATCTCCTTCGCCACCTTTCGTAATTCGACTTTGCAAGATTATCGGATTTCCGTTAATCCAACCTCTCGACTTGGAGTTCGTTCGCTCGAATTTTCGATATAAATCGGCGATCGAAATTATGATACGAAATTAATCTTTTCCTTTCACGATAATTTATCAATCGTCGAGCAAAAGTTTTAATCCCAAGTTTGAAGGATTAAGGATCGAGATCAGTCTCGAGGAATACATTTTTTTTTTTTTTTATCGAAGCAGCTTCGAGCAAATCGTTCGATACAATGGTTTCGAGTTTCAAGCCGCCCTCCCCTCCATCGAAGCGTTTATATCGTTAGCAGGAAGTCATTGCACACGATGCAATACCATACGCGATTCGATTGCGCAAATAAGATTATGTGTCAACTAATAGGCGGATTCGATCGATTAGTTGGAGAGATTAAGCTCGTTTCGCTGAAAAATTATCTTCATTCTTCTATCGATAAACAGTTTCAAGAAGCTCAATCGAAGATGTGAAAGAAATCTTTGTATTTCTTATTTGAAAAATAATCGAAAAGTAGATTCGAGAGAATAATAATGGATAGTAAAAAGTTTTTTAGGAGACGAATATTTATTGGATTTTGCAAACGTTTGGAACGAAACAATGAGAGATTGAAAAGAAATTGGACTGTTTAGATAAAAGTTGCAACGATTTGAATAACAATTGTACTTTACCGCGATGAATATAAAGTGATCCTTCACGTCTGTGAAATTTCGCGTAGGGCGAATATCAGAGCTTTTTTGTCGAGCCTCTTTCAACGAGAGGAATCGCCTTATATCGTCTGGAAATCTAGCTACCGAAAGAGGCCTCGCTTATCCTCGAATAACGTGAAGCTTTCTACTTTATTACCCTTATTCTTCACGTTCAGACGTGAAAAAGTATCGAAATATATCCCATAATTTCTATCGAAATTAATATACGATAAAATATTATATTAATAAGTTCCTTTTTCTCATAAATTACTTCGCATTCGGACGATGAAAATGTACTTTCTCTAGAAAAATATTAATAATATTAGAATATTGGAAAGGTACCCTTAAAAATGTCAAGAAGAATATTAAGCTGTTGATGACAGTGAAACTTCTGCAAAATAATCGATTACAACGTTATTTCCTACGATCACGAATTCGAATTACTTCACCGCTCGTGGCGCCATCTGAAACAGCGTTCTTTCGTTTTCAAAAAGTGTCGCGACGAGATTCCAGTCCATGCAACGGTTTCAAGCGCTTAGGAAATCGTATCTCACGGAACGTGGAAAAAGTGGTAGCAAAGATTCAAAGCCGGAAATTTTAATTCGAAAGACGACGATCGTTCGAGTGCACCGGGAAAGTTGGACGACCCGATGCGACTCTCGTACAACTTCCGTGTTTTCAAATTGTCACCACACCTGTTCCCTTGTATACAATCACCTCGTATCACACTGAATAACACTGAAACGAAATAAATACTAATATCTTATCGATTACGTTCGAAGACGTTCGTTCGAATAATCGCTCGTACCACGCTATGTTCGTTACGGCCCAATGTTACTTGGCTAACCAATTGGAAGCTTCTTCGAGGACGAGAAGCTATTGAATTTGATACAACGCGTTTTGCCATTGGTTGTGGATCATTCGCAATGTTAATACACAGTGGCGCCATCTGCGCGCATTTTCGAGGATGGAATCATCCTCGGTCTAATTCTAAAAACTTTACGTCGCGTAAAAGTTTCACCTAAAATCGAAGAATATTTAAAAAATATAATTTCTCGTTGAACGATAGATGAGGAATCGGCAGAAAGATCACCTAATACACCGATTCCACGAACAGTCTCTCAACAATCGTCACCAAATATATCTGAATCCATCCCAGAGAAAGAAAGAAAGAGAGAAAAAAATCATCGACATACTTCCTGATTGCAAAAGACGTGCTGGCGACACGACGACGAGAAACAGGAGCATTACGCGTGCACGACACACGATACGATCCAGAGATTGGTGTTACGGATACAAAACGACGTATTCCGAGGCGAACGATGAGTAATGGTGTCTGGTGTAGATGTGCATTGGATGGTGTGCGTGCTCGCGGAATCGTTATGTTTTCAACCTGGTGTGCGGTTATGTTATCCGCGCGGGTCAGAAGGATCGGATGATGGGATGAAGAAAAGAAGAAAAAAAAAAAAGAAAGAAAGAACAAGAAAAATTAGAAGAAGAAATACTCGAGCAGGGCGTGAACGATAGTCGATTTCAGTGAAAGTGAACCTTGTACAGCCGTACATGATGTATAAAATCAGGAACCGAAACGAATGAAATCACATTCGAATCCGCGCATTCGGGAGACGAGCAACAATGAGGAGCGCCTTCGTTGTAAGTAGACGAAAAGATACTCTTTGTTAGAATTAAATTATCTTCACGAACGAATGGATATTCAGGTAGATTCGACAACAAACGAGACAATTTTATTCTCGCCTAACTTCGATTACTTATTACAAAGCTTCGTACCTTCATCTCATCACCAAAAAGAAGAAAAGCCGAGCTTGTCACTCATTTATCTTAACCTCTCAGCTCTGCCTTTTGGCGGCCTTCGTCGTGGCAGCCGGGAAAGCCGAGACAGCCGAGGAACAACCGAAAAAGGCGAAACGAGGGATCCTGTTGGGCACGGCGGGATCATCCGTTGGTTTGGAATTGGGCCCCGCCTCGAGTGGCGGGCTCGGATTATCGGGACTCGCCAACGGCCAACTCTCAGCAGGAGTCGACGGTGGCGCCATCGTTCAGCAAGCGCCAACAGTGCTCGTCCAACGGTATCCACCGATCGCCTACTACGCGAGGCAATCTCTGGCGCCGGTGCTGAGGGAAGTATCGGTTCAGACGGCTCATCCAGCCAACCAAAGACCCACGACAGTGGCCGTCAGCCCTCCTCAGCCTCCTGTCAGATTGCAAGCTTCCCCGATCTCGGTTTCCCAACACGTCAATATTCCCCAGCTCGTGTCTCAATCGGTTCCTGTCCTGGTGTCGGCCGTGTCCTCGAGCTCGGCTGGAGCCGGCTTCGCTTCTAGAATCGATTCGAGCGGCAGCGTCACAGCTGGATCCGGCCTGGCTTCCGGCCTGGCGACCACCACCGATCTTGCCTCGAGAGGGTTCGCCTCCAATCTTGGATATGCTTCGTCCGGAGGTGCTGCCGCTCTTGGAGCGGTTGGCGCTCTTTGAGGAATTAAAAAAAGGAAAAAGGAAATCGAGAATGGAGGACGAGAAGAAAAAAGAGAAAAGGTCAAAATGAATTTTCTTTATCTCCTGTGAATTAAAATTTTTCTTGAAGTCTGTACTTTCATTCATTTTTTGTATCCTTTGATAAAATTATACTTTTACTTGCGATAAGCACGATTTCTATTGTTTCATATCGAGTTAATCCCTTTCTTGTAAATTTAATATATATATACACGTATCGCAGTGGGTGAAGATTATCGTTGAAACGGTTCGACAAGTATCCATCTACCTTTAATCGCGACACTTGCGACGGATGGTTGCGAGGAACGATCAAAAGGTAGGGTGGATACGAGATGCGCGTCGAATAGGCGAGGTTATATTAAAACAGCGATGCATGGGCGAACAACGGTAGTTCTTCGAGCCGATTGGTCAATATGGAGCTCGTGTGGGGTGGGATTACGTCAGCGAAAATCCTTTCGCGTCACGTGAAGCTCCTCCCGAGCTTTCACACGAATCAGGTCATGACTTCTATACCGATTTTTAACTCTCTCTCTCTGTAAAGGGAGGATAAAAATTTTACCGTGCGTTTTCTCCGGAATAATAAAAATGGCCGATACGTACTTTCTGTATATAACGTGCAATTTTTCACTTTCGATCATTCGAAGAAACAATCTTTTGATGTAAATTCGAATCGTCTTCACGTCGTTATCGCAAAGGTGAATATAATATATTTGATAATAAATACTATAATAACTCTCTAATTATTTTAATATCATTTGAGATGGAATAAAATTCCAATATTAATTATTTAAATTAAAATTAAATTTTAAAGTCACAATATAATGATAAAATGTTATAATTTTGTAATTTTACATTATCGTGTAAAACCTCGTAATTTTAAATTTGCTTAAAATGTTAATCAATGATGGTAAATATAAATAATACATCGAATCTAATTTTATTTATATAAAAAAAATATGCGTCGATTGTTACGTTTATTACGTTGTAATAAATTGCTGGATGCATAAATTAATAATAAAAATTCAAGAGAATGTTGAATTATTAATTATTGTATCGGAAATGTAAGTTTTAAAGCAATCGGAGAGAAACGTGTACGTTCGTTGAACTTCGGTTTCTATAAATACGAGACGGGTCGCGAGAATGAATACATTCTCTATCGAACTCGTTTGACGTATACATCGAAATTATAACACTTTAATTAAATTCTATCGATTTAGAAATTTTTTTAAAGAACCTTTTTAAATTAACATTCCATACTTCTATATAAATATATTATTTATTTATTTATTTTACTTATTTTAATTTCTATTTTCGTTCATTTATTCATTCATTCATATTCTTATTTCTTAATTCGTTTATTAATTTTTATTTTCACTCGTTTATTTCCTCACTTACTCTTACTTTATTTATTTATTTATTTATTACACTTTTATATTTACCTCTCAATTTTTATTTCTATTCTTACCTTTACTTCTTATTATAACTTTCAATAGATATTTCCACATAGTGGTAATTAAATTATTATTCCATTTTTAGAATAATTTAGGTTTCTTTAAAATTTATTAGTTTTAGTTCACTCTCGTGTAGTAAGATAATCTTAATAATTCATTTTTATATATACTTTTATTATACGGGGTCACCTCCTCGCTTCCTGAGAGAGACCTGGTAATTGGCATCGTTTTTCTCCATATTTTTTATCAAAATTATCATGTTAGAAAAATTTTCCCAAAATTATATTATCACGTTGGAGAGATTACATGACAAATATCACACTAAATCGCATCGTATTATAGAAACATTGGTAAACTAATGATTACATTTAGTTTTGTTTGTTTCAGATTTCTCTAATGTACAATTACACTTCACGCAGCCCAACTTTCTTTTCATTTTGATTTATTACAAGCATCGTCGAATATTTATACGACATAAGATTTTCCATAACCGGCCAAATTATCTAAATTAATTAAATTTATTCAAATTTATTTAAATATATCTGTATATGAATTTTCCATTCGCCCTCCTTTTCTACATTTACAATATTTATTTTTCAATAAATTACGAGGTTTTGGTAAAAATCACTGCCCGCCTCGTCTATTTATATCCTTGGTTGGAAATTAGAGCCAATTTATGTTTATTTAAATTTTAACGGATAGAACACGAAAATAGAGTGAATGTTTGCTCGACGATTTTAAACGATCGCGTCAATAGTCTTTTACCTTCTTTTAAATATTCGTCTCTCGAGTAGAGCGTTTAGAGCCAGTGCTCCTCTCGAGAGGATAAAGCGGTCATCCATCACGCGAGGAGGTTACTATCTTTTTATTCAAATGAAACTCCATCCGTCCACGGAATCGTTTGAATTTCGAATTCTTTATATTCTTTATATTTGGAAGACACTAATTTCATCAATCTTGTCATTAATTTTCGTTAAAATTTCAATTTTTTTTTTTTTAATTTCTGACTAATCCACGTTCTAAATTATATCGTTTTTTGTTACAGCGTTGCCTCGCAACTTTCACGACCATCACAACGACGATGCAGGCCTTCCATGACGAGTCGAGTGCGTTTATTTATCCCTTCGTAGGACGAAAACTTCGAATCGACTTTTCGATTTTTGTTAAACCCGTGAGTGATAATTTTCATTGAATATCAGTGAGGAAAATATTCTTTCGTATTTTTATATCACGATACATACAACACAACAACGCGTTTAATTTTGGTTTTTCTTCGCACACGAAATTATATTATGCGAGAAGATATTTCAGGCAATGTATTTTTTAACGTTATTTCTTTATTATTTTCGAAGATGTGCTCTGATAAAGGAACCGCTCGAGGTTATTTTGTGCGATTAAATTAGAGCCAGTTATTTCGCTTTGCATATCATTAATCCTTTTTTTCAATTCTCATCCACCTTTTTTTTTCTTCGCCTAACACAATTAACGAAGTAGAGTGATTTTCAATAAAATGAAAAAGTATTGGCCTGTTGAGAAAAAATGGAACATCTTTCAGGATCTTCAAGTTTGATTCTTTCAGATGCTGCTCGAATGAAAGGGAGGCAACGATCATAGTTTTGAAACAACGATCGAGTTAGTGATCTCTAAAATTAAAATCTTAGTGAGTTTAATTTTTCTTCATTTCCTATCGTTTTGTCTTATTACAATTTCTTTACAAGTCGTACGTACATTTTTAAAATATTCATTACGTTTTTTTAAATTTTAAATTTCGACGATACATTTCTATCATGCAATGATTACTTGTCATCGATTTCAAGAAAAAAAGTAATGTCAAATCGTAGATAGGCGTGAGAATCGTGGAGCGAGTTTTGCCACTTTTTAACGCGAATTGATGTTAATTAACAAGGTAAGGCTGGGCAGATTGTCTCTGGTGGACGGCAATCTGTTTGACAATCTGTTTCAGGAAATACAACTTGAAACGTCGAGAGCGAAACTGAGACGAGTGGCGGTCGATGGCTACTCGTTTCTGGTTTTGCTCATCGATTTTTCGAATTTCGTGGTCGCGGTTGTGAATTGGATTTCGAAACGAACGTAGAGATTTTGCATGTGCGGGGGAACACAATGATCGTCGTCCATGTCTGTATTCAGTTTTCGTGATTTAGTTTCTCTTTCTCTTTTTTCTTCTTTTTTTGTTCTGCGATTAGGAAATCTCGAGCCTAGTTTTGAATTTCATGGTTCAAGTGCTCGAAGAAAGAAAATGAATAGGAAAAAATGATTTCCCATCTTTTGGATCATTTTGTTTAGATTTAAAAAAATTATTGTTACACTACTTTGCCACTCTGCTCGTTTTAGAATAGATTGCTGTCCAATCGTACAATCATTATGGGGAAATGATGGGTTTTTAATCGATGTTGCTATAGATAAATTATAGTTTATTATTAGAATTGCAGGAAAATAACAATCGCGTTTACTGTATCTTATATTGGATTTTATGAAATATTAATTATTTTATAAATTTATTTTAAGAATTAATGTTACATAAAATATATATAATTCTTTCTAATTAATATCATGAAATTGGTCCATTGTTTTTGAACTATTTAGTGCAACTGTAAGAGGAAGGATGGTTTTCTTCTGGCTTTTCTTTTTCAATACTCGAACACTTCATAAAAATACTGCTCATGCGTTTTAAGTCTTCTAATAGTGGTGAAAATCTTATAAGGATAAGAATATTATTTGTTTTAATAATATTATTCCTGTGAATAATATCAAAATCAAGTTCATTTTACGTCATTATCTTTCGAGCACCAAATCTCTAAAGATAAGTCTTTTTGTATTATCGTTTCGTTATTGGTAATGGATAATGAAGGAAACTCTATATTATCAACAGCTACAAACTGCAACGTTCTGCTTGCAGCGTTCTACCTTCTCTGTACGTGATATAATGTTTTCTACCTAACCGACAATCGTACGGATAGAATAGAATTCAAAATCGATTTCACTTTAATCGACAGTGATAAAGAAATTATTCATAATTTACTGCAATAAATTTAAATGAAACAGCGCATAATAATTATTAATTTATTCTCGATTAATATAATTATGCAATTCCATAAAAATGTAACACCATAATAATCGACTTACGAATCTGCAGATATTCAATAGCAAGAAAGAATAGCTTTCCACTCACCTGAAACAAAAAACGAAAAGAAGCACGGTTATTCATCACTTAGAATTTTTTACTAAATATTATTCGATAAATTGAATTTGTGACAGGAAATAAAAATAAATTGTTATTCTACGAATTAATTGTCTTATATATAAACGATATATTGAAAAAATTTCTTACACGAATGAAACATATGAAAATAAATCTGTTTAATATTCTTTTCTCAGATTTCGTTGCTGCGTTAATTATTATCTTCGTTTCTTCACCATAAAAACTATTCCCAGGTGTCTCATTATTAATATTAAGAGGAAGTCTTGTGTTTAAAAGTCGAGTGAGCAATGTGGTGATTTTTCTTTTTTTTT